TATAAGGATCACTCCCCTGAGCGATGTGGGATGTCACATCTTAGGTTTCATTCTCGTTAAAAGCGGGTCAAATCAAATTATTGTGGCTTACTCGTTTTGTGACTTAGCCCAAGTGCCACCATCCTCTTAGTGTAAATATACCATTGCATTAATTAAAAAAAAAAAAAACAAAAATTCAGAAAAATTAAGATATATGATTTGGAATGTCCCCATTAGATATAAAGGAATGATCAAGCTCACCAATATGATCATGCTGTGATAATTCCCCTTTTGAGTGGTGAAGTGGACCACTGCCTAGCTGGAGTACCTAAGAAAATTTGGTACTTGGGAAGGTGGAACTTAATAAAGATTATATATATTGAAGGTCTTACCAATAATCATCAGTTGGTTACACATATAGTGGTTAGCGTTTGAGGGTTGTTTGATTGAATCTTTTCTTGGCTGTCTTTGGTTGCCATTTAATGGCGCAAAGTTTTAATTAATATTTATAAGCAAATGCAGTTGGAAGAAAAGGAAAAGAACCTCCCATGAATTAAATAGATGCGACCACAGGCGGGCATGCATTGGCCATATACGTGTATAAATTTGGTAGAATTGGTACATATTAGCTTATATTTTGCCTACTTTATTAACTGGAAAGCTTTTTCCCTGGCGTGACTAGTTGTGCAACTGGAATCTGCATGTTGACTATGCGGATTTAGGGTAGGGGAAGGACTTGCATGCATGCATTTTTCTGGATGATATATAGAAGATGACCAGTGACAAAGCTATGAATTTTTTGGGGAGGGGTGAAATATAAAAAGGTAAGAGGTTACATAAATGTAGACAACTAAATCTCTTTAGATATATAGTAGACAATATTAATGTCAATAATAATTTATCAATAAAAACAAATTACAATTGTTATTGGCAACATTTCATGTTGTGAAAACGTCGCATAATAGACTCATTATCAATAAAAGCAAAAATATATCTCTCAATTTAAATAACCATGTTATCCTTCAACCATTGATCTCTCATTTTATTATTCAACGGTGTTTTCACAACAGTTATAGTAAAAAATGTTCTTTCCACTGAAGCAGTTGCAACCGGTAACATAAAAACCAATGTAAAAAACTTGTACACTAACTTATAGTTTTCACAACTCTCGAAATTCACCAAAAATATCACTATTTTTTTTTTAATGATGAAAAAGTACTATGCATCTTCATAATTGCTTATGAGGTGAAATCTAGTTTCACCACATTACAAAGTCCCAAAAGATACGAGTTTAGTCAGCCACGTGGGTTTAATTTTAAACCAGAATGCTATCTGGTTCTTCATATTCTTATCAATCTTGGCTTCTCCGGAACGCTTAGCTTCCCTCTGTTTTCCCTATAAAAAATCATTGAAATTTTGTAACTTTCTTTTTGCTCGTCGATTTGACAAAAGGTTTTCGCCTACAGATTTAGTGAGTCGAGCCAAACAAGTTTAGGTAAAGGATTTGGACATGCAATCAGGTTTGGAATTTTATTTTTTTAATTCGGGATTTTATACAAACTAGACTTTAATCTCATGTTTCAAGTGTTCTTTACTTCAATCGTGTCATTTGGAGGTTCAATCAAGATGAAAAAGCCAGCTTGGAGGAATTCAGGTAAGCTATAAGATTATATATCGTTGTTTTCAAGTTTTGGAGAGGAATTCAGGTAAGCTATGAAAGCCTTTGAAGCTGGGCAGTGGCTTGTCTTGAAGGTTGGAACTTGGAGGGGAACGGTGAAGGCGCAAAGAGGGAATCTGGGCAGTGGCTTGAAGGTTGGCTTATCTTCTTGAGCTGGTTCGTGGGGGCTCCAATAAGGTTAATTTGGAAGAGTGGTCCCCATACGTCAATCTTATTTATTTATGTTTTTCAATGAATAGAAACGACATCGTTCTACTTAGGGGGTTTTCTTTTTTTTTTTCTACGTCCAACACGACGTTGTTTGGCACACGACGCTGTTTGGCTTGGGGTTTTCAGAAAATTGAATTGCCACATGCAACGCCTGAGCAACAGCAGCAAAAAACAGGGGTTCATTTCGGGTGAGAGGAGGGGCGGATACTTACTCTTGGGCTTCATTTCCGGCGAGGGGAGGGGCAGTCGCCACTCCTTGCCCCTATGTAGCTTCGCCACTGAAGATGACGATATGTGTAAGTCTCTCTCAATGGAATATTGTGTTATTAGTTTAAAACGTCTGGATATATCTTGTTACATATCAATTTTCTTTTAGGGTGGGGGAATTTTCTGGTGTAACTGCGTTTAGTATATGTAATACACAAATATAAGTATATCCACTAATTCTATATTCCAATATAAACTATTTAGGCTTGTTTGATTTTATTGTTTTCAGTCATGTGAGCTTGCATACGGATTATGCAATATTTTGTTGAAGTGAGTTATTTTAGCAGTTTGTGCGACTTTTGTCTATTTTAGTTGACATTTTTGAAATTGTTGTTTTTAAAATCATGTTGATATTTGTGTATTGTACATGTTTTTTATATGTATTTTTTCAAGGAATATCGATGATCTGATAAATTATAAATTCTGCATATATATATTATATTATGATATGTAAATTAGTAACACTGTATAATATTATTATGACATATGAGATGGTAACACGCCGTAACCCTAGTATATGTATCACAACTACGTGATTCTCCGTTCTGCAAGTCCAACATAGCATGTAGCTATAGGTATGGTATGCATGCCCAATTACTCTCTCTGCCTTTCTTTTTTCTCCACCCCTTCAGTAAATTGCATTTACTATTTCCTGCTAAGATTGTCAATCGTGATGCTTTGACATCACCTTTCCAATGCTCACATGGGTTGCTTAGAGTCTCACATGATAGTGCAGAAGTATCCGTCCATTTGTTGCTGCATGCAACTTGGTTCCCAGACCCGATCCCAAATGCTGTTTTCCTTCTGACATCAGAAAATCTTAGCCGTTGATTATTATTTCTTTAATATCTTTAATTAGTTCTTAATCCCAAGCAACAATACAATACTTTAGCCGCTGTTGGTGTCGAATCCAAAGGAATCAAAGTGAATGCATGTGCTTTAATTTTCTACAAGCATCCGTTTTCTTTTCTTTTTCTTTTTCCATTTTTTGGTCAACAACTTTTACAAGCATCGTACATACATTAGAATTGTTTAAGAAAGATCGCGTAATATTATAATTCACTCACATTACTGTACATTTGCTTATAATTTATTGTTTACTCATATTATAACACGCGAATTAATTAATATAACGAATTTTTCTAGACATACTCCCATTTCAACGTAATACATGTGTCAAATTCAAGCCACACAATTTCTCATTAACACAAGTCAATAGCTCCACGAAAGTTGATCTTTCGTCTTGAGAAGTAATGCAGATAGCCACTTAATCCCACAAATTGCCAAAAAATTGGTTTTTAGCATGATTGGTGAACAAGATAGTTTATAGGATCAACACCATTCTAGCAATACGGCAGCAATATATAGTATACCAAACACATGCACAAACAAGTACACAGATAAATAATTGATAAGCTAATCCTCGCCTCACGCCTCACATATATGATGAGTTTGGGTTTAGGGTGACCTAATTAGAATTTTAGTTTTTCAAAGTGTGTATAATCACATTACCACATGATGTTACTAGAGACTCATTTGAGTCTGCTTAGGTGCATATACGTTCATAAACATTTATAGCATAAACAAGGTGAAACTGTAATTAAAATCCCAAGTACTAGGTACTTTTGAGTAATGACACATGCTTTTTTAGAAAACACTTATATCACATGGACGTACCTTCAAATTTTGTTGCTAAATGCATACATAAGTTACTTTGGTTATCTAAAAGCATCTTCAAAGGAAGAGCAAAAAAATTCATATAAGCAATAACAGTAAAAAAGGCAGCAATTAAGATAAGTAGACTTAAAAGAGTCCACATCAGCAATTACAATCATAAAAAGTAAATAGTGTAATAAATCATAATTTAAATTTAACATATAGGGTGAAGAACACTATATAAAAAAAAAAAAAAAAAAAAAAGAAGAAGATAAATGTGCCACACAAGCCTTCAAATGTAAATTTTATTTAAAATTTGATTTTTTCTTTGGAGATGATCTAAAATATTTTAACGGCTTAACCCTTCCCAAAGAACTAACAATACACACTAATTCACGCGCTATGATACACATGAACAATATAATTGATACTAATTCATAATTAGATACACGTTTTTTTTATTATCATATATGTCTTATAATACAAGTAGACTAATAATACCATATAACGGGTAACTCAGTTACACCTAACTAATTTAGAGTATCTAATTAATTTCTTGTTAGTAACTTCAGTCCCCAATTTCTCTCCCAACTCGTACCTAAATTTCAACTCAAGCAGGCCCACATGGAGAAGTGCATGCCAAAAATTAACTCAGACTATGACCAACCCACAACACACGGCTTGAACGCTTGATTTACTGCCGCATATGCTCATGCATCACGGAAAGAAATCATTTATAGATCTCTTTCATCAAAGCTATCAAATCAAATGATTCGAATTTTTAAAATTTAATTAAACGGTTAAAAATAGAACTAATTTTTATAAATCATAATAATTTTAACTGTTGTACCAAATTTTAAGGGCCTATATCACTTGATTTGGTGATTTTGATGGAAGAGATTCGGAGAGTATCTCTTTCCATACATCACACCCAGCAACCCAGGTAGGAGCTAACCGACAAGAGATTCTTTAGTGTAACCGTTACACATGATATTATACCACGTATTACCATACAAATGGTGGGATATGTGTACTAAAAATTAATAACTTAAAAAATAAATTTTCTTACAATTTCTATTAAAACACATGATATACCACTTATGTTCCCAATGAAAAATTTCGCCTAGCCGACAACCAACCGCTCTCCCCCTTTTGTCCTTTTCACCCCTATCCCGTTGTTCTTCACTAGATAACTACCAACAACCCCTTTTCCTATAAATTGCCCCCGTTGCCTCTAAACTTTATTTCTGGACCTGCAACACGTATTCAATACGAATCAATCAACGGATCGCATGGCCGCTGCAGGAGCTGCCGCAGACGGGCTGTTCCGGTGCGTGTACGAGGGTTGCATATCGGGGTCGGATATCGGAGTGGAACGGCGCCCGTACCACCGCAACTGCGGGTGTGCCCTACACAACAAGTCACGTAACAAGCAATGCACCCACGGAGGGCCTAAGAGTAAGAAAGTGTCGTATCCGCTGAGGCGGGCTTGGAGCGAAGGGAACTTGGCTTTGGTGGCTTCCGCCGGTTCTTCCGTGCACTCCTCGCCGTCTTCCTCGCCGGCTCAGCACAACCACGCGGCCGGGAGGGCACATCATCGGCGGAAGTCGCATCAACAATTGGATACCTTGTGTGATGAGAATGAGGAGGATGAGGAGGAGGATATTGTTTTCTTCAAGGTTTGATGTACGTTTGTGATTTGATCATTACAATATGTATACTTACTTTGTTTGATCAATTATTATGGGATAATCAGGTTTTGTAATTAAATCTAATTTTGAGGATATTCAGAGAGGTTTGCAATTTTTTCTGATCACCATCACATCAATGCCATCTTTTCATCTGGCAATCATCGTAATATATGAGATATTAAAAACTTGATCTCGTATTTTTGGTTAAGTTCTGTTTTGAAATCACTAAACAGAGTACTGGGTTCTAATTTGTTTCTACCCAGCTTTGTCAATTTCATTCTAAATTTGCATTTTTAGACTGCAAATTTGAAATCGTGTCCTTTCAAAACCCAATTTGGGGATCTAGCTAGATTTCTGAGTTGAGCTAAGAGCTGTCTTTTACATTTGATGAAATCAGCGTGTGAACGAGTGAGATCAAAATATAATATAACAAGGTCGTGTGTTTTTGTTAGAGGTATCATATAGATAATGTAATTAGGGTAACCCTTCTCAAAATTAATATTTCATTAGAGTTGGTGCCAAAAACGTATAGGTAATTTTTTGTTTTCTTACATGTAATGAGTCATTCAATTCAACATATAAATCATAAGTGAGCATATTTGAATATGTGCACAATTGTGACTTGCAAATAAACCTATTCCAGAGTTTTCTGGTGACTTGAAAATAAAACTTTTTCAAATATTTCCGGAGTTTTTCATTTTTTTACATGTAACGAGTTATTTAATTCAACAAATAAATCATAAGTGATCATATTTGAATATGTGCACAACTGTGACTTGCAACTAAACCTATTTCCAGAGTTTTTTGGTGACTTGAAAATAAAACTTCTTCAGATTTTTCTAGAATTTTTTGTTTTCTTACATGTAACGATTCATTCAATTCAACAAATAAATCATAAGTAATCATATTTGAATTTGTGCTCAATTGTGACTCGCAAATAAATCTATTTCCAGAGTTTTCTGGTGACTTGAAAATAAAACTTTTTCAGATTTTTGTGGAGATTCCTGGATCTAAGATTAAATAATGCATAGGAATTGGAGAGCCGTTAACATAACGAAAGAGTAAACCCTGCAATCATCAGCCTTTGAGTGTACGTGTTTAATTGCCAAATGGTCAATAAAACCAATAAAATACAATGCAAACACGGAAACACCACCACACGTATATAACGTATTGTAGGCTGGATGGGCTGTTTAGTCGGCTGCACCGCCATGTTCAACGGTTCGAAAGACAACTTGTGTTAATATATTATAACAAAAAGAGGAAAAAGAAAACGAACAAACAGAAGAAATGACACACAAAGTGAAATGCCATCCATGTTCTCATGTCCCTCCGTCTGTGTGCTTCCCTGTCATTTTCAAATATAAATTAGAGAGAGAAAAAAATTTGTACTTTTTTCTAGCGGTTAAATTAAATAAATCGATTAATCGAAAGAGATTTGAGGCACATAAACAAGAAATTGTCTGATGAATGAGGCATTTCTCAACTCACTGTTTTCAAGTTCAATCAACTATCTAAAATTTTTAGTGTACGTCGTTTAAAATCATTGGTCTAAAAATTCTTGTTTAAGCGTTAGGTAGCTGGTCATCGTTCATATTAATTCTAGGAGTTTAAAAATTAGAAAAGGGTGTCTGGAGTTGTTTAGGCGCCTAGGCACCCATATAGACTCGTCTATCTATCTGTTTAAGTCGCAACTCTCACTTAGACAAAAAATAAAAAACCTTCATTTTGCATTTTATTTTTTTTCTAATTTGTAAGAGACTTGTTTTTATTTATTTTTTTTAACAAACGATATTATCTACACTACAAGGAAGGGGTTGGCCTTAGCCTCACAATGAGTTAACAATAATGTGGTTCAAATTTATCTTTGGCGATAATCGAATCCAAGACCTCTCAATTGCAAGTGAAGAGAAATACCATTAGACAATAATACTAAGTGACAATTGTAAGAGACTTGTTAAATAGTCGAATGAACACATTATATGCTTGTTACCCATATTTTCATTATGTTATAATATTTTATCATCAGTATGTCATTTATTTTGCAATTTATGTATTATAATACAATTATGTATTTCTTAAGTAAAAACAGACATTTATTTATACGATATATAATAAATTTTCTCATGTCTGCCTAGGCTCTTGACTAGCCACCTATGTGACATCCCACATCGCCCAGGGGACTGATCCTTAAATGATATTCCCATCCCTACCTAGCGCGAGGCCTTTTGGGAGCTCACTGGCTTCGGGTTCCGTAGGAACTCCGAAGTTAAGCGAGAAGGGGGCTAGAGCACTCCCAGGATGGGTGACCTTCTGGGAAGTTGCTCGTGAGTTCCCAAAAACAAAACCGTGAGGGAATGGTAAGCCCAAAGCGGACAATATCGTGCTACGGTAGTGGAAGCGGGCCCGGGAAGTGATCCGTCCCGGGTCGGGATGTGACAATTTGGTATCAGAGCCTATCCCTGGCCGGAAATGTGCCGACGAGAACGTTGGGCCCCTAAGGGGGGTGGATTGTGACATCCCACATCGCCCAGGGGACTGATCCTTAAATGATATTCCCATCCCTACCTAGCGCGAGGCCTTTTGGGAGCTCACTGGCTTTGAGTTTTTTTAGGAACTCCGAAGTTAAGCGAGAAGGGGGCTAGAGCACTCCCAGGATGGGTGACCTTCTGGGAAGTTGCTCGTGAGTTCCCAAAAACAAAACCGTGAGGGAATGGTAAACCCAAAGCGGACAATATCGTGCTACGGTGGTGGAGCGGACCTGGGAAGTGATCCGCCCCGGGCCGGGATGTGACAATTTAGTTAGGAAATATCCTAGTAGTGGTGGTGGAGATGGCGGTGATGACAGTGGGTGGTGGTGGCGACAACGACGGGGGAGACAACAATATGTGGTAGCGACAACAGTCGTGATGGTGATAATGATGGTGGATGGTGGCAGTGACAAAGGCGAGGGAGACAATAGCGTGTGGTGGTAGTGGCAGCCGCAAAGGCGGGGGAGACGGCAGTGTGTGGTGATGGTGGTAGCAATGATGGTGCATTGTTTTAGAAATTTTTACCTAGGCGTTAGGTGGCTGGCTACTGCCTTAATTAAGATCTAGATATTTGAAAATTAAGGGAGGGTGCCTAAACTCGCATAACCTGCCTAGATTGGCCTAGGCAGTTGCTTAAGTTGTGACTTTCACTTGGACAGAAAATAAATCACTTTCGTTTTGCATTTTATTTCTTTTAATAAATTGTAAAAGACTTGGTGAATAGTTGGATGGACACTCATTACATGTTTGCCGGATGAACACTCATTATATGTTTGCCGGATGAACACTCATTATATGTTTGCTTTTCATGTTTTGAATATGTTTTAATACTTTATAATTTATAAATCATTCTATTTTGTAAATTGTATATCCTTATATGATTATGTAATTTTTAAATATAAAAAACACTTGTTTATACAATGTACAACAAATTTACTTAAATCTATCTGATCAGCCTAAGGCCTCGTCTTGACCTCGACTAGCTGCCTAGACACTAGACCCCAGCTCACTGCCTAACTAGTGTGTATCGTCTTTTAGAACCTTATGATAGTGATAATGATGGTGGGTAGTGGAGACAAGTGTGACATCTCACATCGCCCAGGGGAGTGATCCTTAAATGTATATTCCTATCTCTACCTAGCACGAGGCATTTTGGGAGCTCACTGGCTTCGGGTTCCATGAGAACTCCGAAGTTAAGCGAGTAGCGCCCGAGAGCATTCCCAGGATGGGTGACCCATCGGGAAGTTCTCGTGTGAGTTCCCAGAAACAAAACCGTGAGGGCGTGATCGGGGCCCAAAGCGGACAATATCGTGCTACGGTGGTGGAGCGGGCCCGGGAAGTGATCCGCCCCGGGCCGGGATGTGACAATTTGGTATCAGAGCCTAACCCTGGTTGCGTGTGTGCCGACGAGGACGTCGGGCCCCTAAGGGGGGATGGATTGTGACATCCCACATCGCCCAGGGGAGTGATCCTTAAATGTATATTCCTATCTTTACCTAGCACGAGGCCTTTTGGGAGCTCACTGGTTTCGGGTTCCATGGGAACTCCGAAGTTAAGCGAGTAGCGCCCGAGAGCATTCCCAGGATGGGTGACCCATCGGGAAGTTCTCGTGTGAGTTCCCAGAAACAAAACCGTGAGGGCGTGATCGGGACCCAAAGCGGACAATATCGTGCTACGGTGGTGGAGCGGGGCAGGGAAGTGATCCTCCTCGGGCTGGGATGTGACAACAAGTGGAGGTGGTAGCCACTTATCGTTGAGTTTTTTTTAGATTTTTTATTTTTAAAATCTCACTCATTGAAATTTGAAAATGACAATTATTTACAGGGAATTTAAAATTGGAAATTAGAGGTCTCAAATCATAAGTTTTTTTCTACGCAAAAATTCTAAATTTCATCTTTATGAATTCAAACAAGGAAATAGGTGCATGTTTATAAATTTTGACTTTTATTCAAATTTCAATTTTATTTTCGTCATCCAAACATAATGGAAAATGTTAGAAAGACCACATATTGATACTATATTGATGCATCATATGATGTAGTAATTGATATGTGCATGCCATATCAATTAATGAGTTTTTTTTCATTCAATTCGATTATATGTATCACTCACCGCTGTTAGGAGTATTATATGAATGGATAAGATGTTGCCAAATGTCAATAGATTAGTCTTGCAGTTATAAGGTTGTTAGAAGATAGCTTAGTTAGGAAGCTGTCTTCATTAGTATAAATATCCTTTGTAATAAAATAGTTATAGTAATGAGAAATAATTAAAACACAATTCAGAAATTTATCTTGCTCTCTAAGTACTCTTTCCCTCTTCATTTCTCTTCCTATCAATCTTCTTCTTCTCTGATAACTGTTTAGATTGGTTTACATGGTATCATCGCCGGAAAAAGCATAAAGCTTTGGGGTGTATCGATCTGGGATTTCTGTATATCTTCCGCTTCTGCTCGCACATATATATGTGTTTCTCTCTTCTATTTCTTTCTTCTTGATTTGGGTATTTTCTGCTCGAGTTAGGGTTCATTCGTTTGTGTTTGGTTTTCTGCACACCAAGTGTTCGACGTTTGTTCTCT